CACCACAATAAAAAATTATATGATGGCATCTAATCTTTACTATAGGCCCTGTTGTGTGTTAATCACTTTGTAGCATAACGAAATTAAATTCTTTTCTTTATAATTTTATAAACTACTATCATTTTCTACATTCTACATATGAGAAACTGAGGATAAAGATGTAAGTGAATTTCCAGTCTTTTGGAAGCAAATGTTAAGATGTGAAACCTAACCTCAAGGTTTCCTGGCTCCAAAGGCTATTGTAACAATTTTCAGAAGACAGGTATGTATCTATTACTTTTGACGAGTGACTTAATAGTAATGGATCACTGTCCAGCCATTAAAACTAAGCAAAATCTGTCATATACACTACCACGGATGAATACAGAGATTATTAGTTATGCTCAGTGGACTAAGCCAATCACAGAGGAAAACCAATGTACAATTCCTTTTAATGAGGTTTCTAAAACAGTCAAACTTGTAAAAAAGTAGAATGCTGGTTGTTAAGAACTAGGGGAAGGCGAAATGGACAGCTGCTAGTCATTGGTTATAGAATATTATTATATGTTCTAGAAATCTCCTGTACAATGTTGCGACGATTGTAAATAAAACTATTTTACATGTAAAACTTATCAAACTGGTAAATCTCACATTAAGTGTTCCTACCACAATTTTTAAAAAGTTTAATCCACGAAAGTAAAGCTTAGCAGAAACACATCTGTCCTCATACAACAGAACAGTGGCGTTGGGGTAGAAGGAACACACTTGTACAGACTGCAGGCAAGACTGGGAAGCACAAAAAGCAGATTTCATCTTACTTTCTCGGTCACATCCCTGTGCTGAGAGGGGAATTTTTTTCTCTTCAATCTATATTACAGCCTTTGATGGCTTCAATCTATGCACGAAAGGTGCAATACTGTTAACATGGAGAAATTGAAATTCACATTCAAAGACTGAGGAGTCCAATCTTGATCCCACTTGGCCCTGATTAGCCCCTCTTCTAACTGTGTCTGACCTAAGCTTGGTTTTGGCATCTCACTAGGATTTATTTTTCTAAGGCCATTCCTTACATTTTTGGTGAAAGTATGTGTCTAAATTTTTATACAAGGATTTGTTAGGTATTTAGAATTTCCATGAATTTGTTTTGGAAAAGGTTTTAATTTAGTAATTTTGACATATTCCTAGAACTATGAGAATGAAATTACTTGGAAAATAGTTAAGGTTCTAGAAAATGACAAGATGTTATAATTATGTCTACTAGAGAGATTCTAAATTATTATCTCTGAAGGATTGCAGAAGATATGGATGAGTAGTGGTAAAGCAATGTATTAGTAGAACTCATAATTCATAGAAATATTGCATAGAATCCCAAATCATATAACAGATCAAACAGGGCTATTTAATTTGAAAAGCTGGAAGCAGTTGTGCTAGCAGCGATACTGGTTAAATATTGTATTCCATTTCCACTCAAAGCATGTGATTTTCTTTTTAAACAGAACTTCTGACAAATCACATAGCCCCAAAGAATTTCTATGACAGCTTGGATCTGGAATGTCCCCCAAAGGTTCATGTACTGAAAGTATGATCCCCAGTGAGTGGTCCTATTGGAAGGTAAGGAAAACTTTAGGAAGTGAGATCTTCTTAAAACTAGGTGTGTGCCTTTGGAAGGTGTATTCTGTCCCTGACCCTCTCCCCTTCTCTTATATTCTGGGCCTCTTGTCCTTCATGAAATATTCTGTTTGGCACCACCACATGCATCCCACCATGATATTCTGCCTCAATATGGGCCCAGCAGCAATAGTGCCAAGTGATAGCGGCCTGAAGCCTCTAAAACCGTAAGCCAAAATAAATCTTTCCTCCTTTAAACTGATTTTCCCAGGTATTCTGATACTCTTGATAGAAATGACATTTTTTTCACAAGGGTTTGATTGCACATTTGATAGATTTGTTTTGTTGTTTTTTACTTCCCATACTTTACTTCCCATACTACACAAATGTAGCTATAATGCCAGCTCACTCATAGGATATAGTTTCAGAAATAAATGGTTTATTCTTCTTTATACTAAAATTGTAGTTTTTAAAAATATTACATATATTTAAATACATTTAAATTAATATTTAATTCATACTATTAATACTATGTGCATTATGATAGCAGTTGGTGAACATTCATCTCTTAGTAAGTTTCCTCACCTATAAAATAACATTAGTAAATTTCCTATTTTCTAGAATGGTAAATAAGATTTAGTCCCAGGCATGGATTATGGATCCCAGCACTCAGGAGGCTAAGGGAGGAGGGTCAGTGGGAGTTCACGGCTAGCCTGGGCTACAAAGTGAGTTCAAGGGCAGCCTGGGCTACGTAGTGAAACCCTGTCTAAAACAGTTGAAAGAAAAAAAAAGAAAGAAGAAAAAGAAAAAAGAAAGAAGAAAAAGAAAAAAGAAACAAAAGATTAAAAGGATTTATGATATAAAATTATTGATTAAAATTTTATAGAAGGGGCTGGGGATTTAGCTCAGCGGCAAAGCGCCTGCCTGGCAAGCGCAAGGTCGTGAGTTCGGTTCCCGGTACCGGAGAAAAACCAAAAAAAAAAAAAAAAATTTATAGAAAATGGAAGAATTTATGCTATATTTTGCATTATAAGACAATTCATATTTTAAAATAGTAATAAACACAAAATTTCACAATGACATTTTAAGAAAACTCTAATTTCTTAGTGCAGTCGCACTTACTATTTTAACCAATGTGGTTCTACTTTTTGCTTTGAGCTTATCCTTACTCAATGTATAGTACATTTGCCAGCTCCCAACACGACACTTAAAATGGAGCAAGCACCAGTGAATGTTGCCCTTTTGTTATATTATCTTTCTTGAGGAAAAAGTGGATGATCAAACTTAAGAAACAATGAGGAAAGAGAGAAGTTTATCTATGTGAAAGGTGAGTGGATTGTCTTTTAACCAGCTTTCACAAGGTATATCACATGGCTATTGACAAAAGAAAAGAAACTGTCAATTTGATGAAGTGCAACTCACAACTCATTAGTGTTGAACACAGAAGAAGTATTCCACATCAAACATGACTTCTGAAATATTCACAATTACCAGCTGCTCAGAAACCATTTTATATGGATAAAAAACATGTCACATTTAATTTATCAGATGCTTTCCCCTGTCATACTTTTCTTTCATTCAATGTACTGGAAAGTTATAAAAACAACTTTAGTCTCACTGTAGCCATGTATAGACATTAAGAATAACACAAATCCATTATCCACCACAATATAATTGTGTCTACATGGATGAATAATTTTCTGTAGCTTCTTTGCACTCAACTCTAAATTAGGTATTGCTTTAAAGATATCTGAACATATGACATTCAGTATGGATATTTTTAAAAAACCACCATCTCAACATAAAGGGAAACAAAAACCATATTCATTTCTGAAGCTACGTGTCTTGAATGAGCTGGCATTATTAACTCTTGTTTCTTTAGTGACTGCAATGGGAATCATCATCTGAAAAGTAATGCCATTTAAATTTTATAATAACAATGAAGTGAACCCTACATGCATTCAGACTCATTTAAAAATAAAATAGTAATAGTTAAAACTTTCCATCGTAATCCTGTGATGCAGTCTCCAAATGAAAATACAATAACTGGTTTAATCCTTTTCAAGTATTACCAAACCTAGCAAACTACTGCAATATACAGTACTATCTCTATGCGAAAAGTCAAACTAAACAACTATATAGATCCCCCAAAAAACAAGCAAGCAAACAATAATCAGTCCTTACTCAGTTTCTACTTAACCCATTGTGAACTTAGCAACTTTCAAACATTTTTATAAAGGGTCTTACTCTCTTAGGCTTAGCTAAGGAATGAGCCTTATTTCTGCTCCTCTGTGTACATCACTGGCTCTTTTCAGGCATGATCCTCTTACAAGGTGGTCCTTACTTTCTGTTTTTGGTGTCGGCTGCAGTTATGGTTGTTGCTTTACTATAAGACAATGCTAGTAGCTGTTCAAAACTGTAAAATTAAGCAAATAGTGCTGATAGGGCAAGAGAGCCACCATTTTCTGTTATTAATTCCTTATTAACAGAAGTCACTTAAAGTTCACTTTAGCTGTAGCTGATCCACACTCTTCACTCCTTCCCCTTGGTTATCAACCCATTTAAAGGAGAGCAAAGTCATAAAATATGAACAGAATAAACAGGACAAATTTGAAGTCAGCTAAAAGTTAAACTGTAGCAGATATTTGGAATTTGGCTGTCCAATAACTCCTGAGAAAGTAAACTTTGTGCATTCTTATAAGATTCCCAAAAATGAGGTAATGGTTACTATGGAAACCTAAAATGTACTTTAACTGAAGGTGAGACCCAGATCAGGGCAGATATCTTCTCTGGCTCCTGGTTAGAGACTGTCCATCAGCCGGCTCAATAAAGCTTTGCTCGTTCCTGTTCTTTTGGTCTCTTGTAAATGCTGTTCTCAGTGAACTCGCATTCGGTATCAGTGCCACAGCTCAGCTGTAGAGGGCTTGCCTAGCATGCACAATATGGTTGTTTCTTTAGAACTTATCATTTTAAAAACACTGAGCAATTTCCAACAATTACAGATTTGTCTTATTTCTAAATGAATCCCAACCACTCTAATGGGATCAGAGTACTTATCCTTTTATATGCTTTCAGGAAGGGGACCAAGAGATGGGGAGGGGGAAGATGAATGAATAATTAATATGTGGCATGTTCATGTAACACCTCCCCATCATGTACTGAAGACATGTTTTTTTATTTCAAAAATCAAAACTGAGAAAGAAGTTTAAAATCATACCAAAATGAAAAGTTACAGGAAGCGATAAGTGAACATTATCATTTCTTCCCGTTGGCCTTCAGATCTTCTAACAAGCACACAGAAATGAAAACTAAAGATTTTCCATTGTGAAGCTCTGGGTAGAATGTTCTCTGGATAGAATGATTAACGAAAAGTCAGCTTCTCTGGGAAACAACTGTCACCCTAACACAACAGCTCTGGCTCTAGAGAGGGAGGTATAAGTGATGGTGCTCCTGGAAAAAGGGATGATCTAACCGGGGTTAGTAGATGGGCCTACAAATTTCTCTCTTCTCTTTCTGCTTAAGACTTGGTCTGCATAGACTGCCAGAAGAAGACAGGCTGGGAGGTTCCACAGACAGATTTACTCTGAGGTCTCTTCTTTTGGCTTGCTGGCAGTTATTACCTTGCTCTATGCTCACAAAACCTCTTTCTTTTATGAATTCAAGGGAAAAAAGATAGAAAGAGCTATGATGCTTTTCTGAGCATATAATCCTATCATGATTGACCCTCATTACCTCACCTTAACCTAATTACCTCCAAAAAACCCATCTTCAAATACTGAACAGATATCAAACTAGTAATTAAGATGACCATATGAATTTGGAGAAACAGTAATGCTCAGTACAGAATGCCTAGTTATATAGCACTCTTTTCCTTATAAACAACAGCATATCATTATTTGATCTACCATGAACTCTAGAAAGAGATAAGCAGTCAAACTGGCTCTAAGAAATGATTAATAATTAATAAACCTAAACTGCCCCATCTCACTTATAGCCTGAAAACAGATTAAAAACCAAGCCAAAATAAATTAATAGCAATGACAATAACAACTTCTTAGCATGACTAAGAAACAACTTTAAATACAAGTATCATTTGATTTTAACAAACTCATATTAAAATTGCTAAATGTGGCTAGTCACTAACACACTTAGCACAGTTCTAGATAATTTTGATGACTATAAAATAGGTTAAAGCAATTGGAAGGCAGAAAGAGAGATATACAGGCAAGATTATACACAGTGGAGCCTAACTTTGAATAACAAGAAAACAGCAGCAACACAGTCATACAGAGCATGAAAATCCAGAATCAGAAAAGAAAATGCAAAGGCTATGGAGCAGGAGGCATGAGCTACAATATATAATTAGCATGAGAAACTGAAACAAGGTGGGTGTGGCTATAGTTGAACAACAAAGAAAAGGGTGGAAGGATATGATAATGAAGAAAACAGATCACTTATATATTTTCAATATTGGATTTTTCTGTAGAGATAAAAGATTGCTTATAAGGAAACATGGATAATCTGACTTCTACAGTGATTTCAAGACTCTTGGCACATAGTAGCTTGTGGTTCAAAAAACAGAGCCATGCAAAACTTGGACTACATCATAAATAATCTAACTATAGACCTTTTCAACAAGTGAAAGAAATCTGTTTATAAATAGAAAAGGTATATTTTGCATCTATCTTCTTTTCAAGTAGAAATAACACATTTCCTACACTGTTAAACTAGATCAGTAACTTTTTAGGGAACAACTATTGAGTCTTTTAGTTTAAAAAGGATCTACTAATTAACTTTTAAAAAGTAAGAATTATCATGATTAGCAATTCCCTTGACTAATATTTATGGTGTCCTAAAGATAGGATACTTTCCTAGGATGCTTTATTTAGCTTGAAATGTAATCAGCTGTGTTACATGAAGAAGTAATCAGATGACAGGCTGTATTCTACAAAGGCAGCTAACTCTGGAATGCAAAACTAGAGGAGAAACATTTTCCACTAGTCAACCAAGAGCTGGGAATCCATACCCACTCATCAAAGTCACACCTCTAGTGATAAGTAAGAAGTTCTTACCAAACCAAAGTGTCCACTCATCTTCCTAAAACAATGCATGAGGCCTGTAAATATCCAGACAAAAATATGTTTGTGCTATACACTTCCTTTATTATCATTCAAGACAGGTAAGTTCTGATTTTATTTTGTATGTGACTTCACAAGCCACAGAAGAACTCATTTTGATCATTCTTTCCTGACTTTTAATATATTTTAATAAATGATTAGCAAATTGGTGAATTAAGTCTAAATTTTCTGAAATTAAATAGATGAATATATTATGTTTTATTTTGCCTTATTTTTACAGATTCATTTCTAAAAATTAAGAGAGGAAAATGTATCACTCAAGATACCAGATTGGAAAACAGGTAAATCTGTTCAAAAGACACTAAAAAGAACATGCTTTATTGGTGCCATGACATAAGTTAGGAAGCAACAGAAGAAACTAGAAAAGGGCAAGTTAAAATATATTTCATAATGTTGATACTCAAGATGAAACCTTGTAAGTTTCTTTTAATTTCTTCACATATTAATATTCATCACTCTCAACATGCATAAAAATAAATACAGGAAGAAATTTCCTATAAAGATCAATGCCTTAAGATTGAACTAAAAAGTAATTTCTTTACCCCTAAATCTAAACATCTCCATTGCCAATATCTGAATATTGCTGGAGCCAATGCAGAGATAATTAATCCTGTAAAAATACGGATAGAATAAGTCAAAGAGTTCCCAAACAACCCCAATTCCAAGCAGGCAGCACGGAATTTAATAGGCAAAAATGTACCTCATCAATATGAAAATGTATTCCTGCTTGGCAGAAACCAAATGGAATCAGGGTATGAGACTTCCCTTCTGAATACCAGACGGCTAAACAAGGGTTCCACTGAGGTAGAGAAAGACACAGCCATTTAGTTCAACTTTCTACCAACTAATATTGTTTTCCTGATGACCAAACATGTGATTTAAAACACTGAATACAGTGAGGTAAAAGTACTAAAAATCTGTACAAACATTAGACATGAACTTGATACAGATAGCCCTCCTGGCTAAGTTGTAAAACAATAAAAACAAAAACTCTCATTATTAAAGTACATATGTTAAGGGATTTCCTGTATATGGAAATATATAACAACTAACTTTTCTAGAGAAGGAATTGTAATCTCTATCTCCCACATAATCTTTCTGACTCAACTGTCATAGCCAAGTTCATTGAATCTAAGATGAGACATGTCCAAACTTCTAGAAAGTGAGACTCAGCAGGCTTTCTGCACCAAACCATGTGTGCTAGAGAGGCCATCGTTGCTAATCCTGATGAATAAAGATGAAAAGGAAAATTCTTTTTGATTTTTATCAGGGAACTGAGAATGAGAAAATGGTGGTCATTACAAAGGCACAGTCAAGACCAAAACTCAAAAGACTCCTGAGTCCCTCTTAAAATGTGTCCATTTTAAATATTATTAATATGCATGTACATTTTTCCATTAAACTAGGAATTTTTCTAAGGATAGATTCTATTTTTAATTTGTCTTAGTTGTCATAGTGCTTAACACTGTAAGAAAATCTCTAATATTATAGGATGCCTACTGTATGTTAGATTTTTTACAGAGCATTTTCATCATTATCTCACTGATATTCATGGAAAAACTCAACAAACAACTAAAACAGTGCACACAGGTGTCCAACAGTGGGACAGAAAGGCGAGGGCATACACTGGTTAAGGCAAATGTTAAGTCAGCTGGGACTGAAACTGTCTCCTAGCAGGAAATCATTCAAAAGCAGACTAACAAACATTCAAAAGCAGGACATTATCAACCAACTGTAAACGGAATCTGAACTTGCTATGCTTACAATTTGATAAAATATTTTAGAATATTTCTGCCTTTCTGCATACTTCTGTAAACTCTGGTCATTCACTGAGGAATGTACTAAAGGAAGCTGTGCTTTCAAGCCTAAGTGGCTTGAAATAACAGGACTACTGATATATTTTTAGGGAAATCACCGAGGGACCCTCTGTAAGATTTAATTGGGATCTTAGTTTGGTTTCCAGGTCACCCTTCCTCCAGCGCTTCTCTGAATCCAAAGAGTGGCCTCCAGGGACTCATCTTTTCTGTCATTATCTGGGCACGCTTTCATCAGTCTTTCTCCACTCTTGCATCCTCTTCCAAAGGTCATTAGGAAGACAGATTCCACCAGCAAGCAGTCACAGAGAAGCAGAAGTTTAAAAATTACAAACTTGGAGACAGTAAAAGAGGAAAAATCTTCAGAATTTTAAATGATATTATTAATGGTCTTTACTAAATAATAAGAGATAAATTGTTCTTTGTTAGCTTGTTCCTTCATGGGCTGTTTGGTTATTTGACAAATTCTCTCCGTCCATTTTGCATGCTCCTGAGTCTTCCCATCACCCTCTCTTTCTGTCCTTTTGTGCAGTCAGAGCCTATATATAGTACATCAAAGAGTGATGGGCAACTGGGTAGAACCTCGTAGAAACATTTCATTCCCCTCTCCCAAGCTGGGGTTTCTTCCCCTCCCCTGTGCCTTCTTTATTTCTTAAGCATCAAATGCTGGTGTCACAAAATATAAAGGTGTGTGATGGGCAAGTTTCAAAAAAAGTCAGCTGGCATTTTAAAATGACATTTTAGCAAAATGCCTTACTGTTTAACACACAAAAGTCCTTGTTTTTATTTTCTTCTTACAAGGAGAAAAGCAATATTTGAAAAGCCACATTGCCTGCAGCAATAAGAGAAAGTTAAAATCCCAAAAGATGTGGAAAGAAGAAAAACTGTAGCAGGCAGGTTCAAGAATCCTGATCCATTGGTAGGATAGGGTTGCTAAATGTTGAGTAAAGTAGCTTCAAGTGTTTTAAGAAATCAATTATGTAATTTCACATGATTCAAATAATACAATTATGTTAATCTAATATATAAATTTAAGGAGTTATACTTATTTACATAAATATTTCATTGACTGTGAGCTATACAGAAAGGTGAAAGGTATATGTCTGATATTCAAGCTTAAGTACCGCATTATTTCTCTTATGTGAGAAACCAAAATATAAATAAAAAACAAAACAAAGATAGTAATAGGAAGGAGAAAATCTTTTTCAAATGTGAAGGGGAACAAAAGATGGAGGGGTAGATGGAAGAGGAGTAGAAAAAACTGAAGGAAAGAAAATGGAAATAGAGCTTTTGCAAATGGGAAGGGGAGCAAGAGTTGGAGGGAGTAGGAAGAGACGGGAAGAGAAGGAGACAAAAAAGAATGAAGATATGTTATGTACACAGGGTAACTCCCTCATAAACATAATCACTATGTACTTCAAATATGCACTAATAAAACATAAAAAGGTAAACATTAAAAATAAGTCCAGACCTATTTAATATATTTCAGAATGTATCCAAACATCATTGTACTAAGGAAAATAGACAATTATATACTCCCAACTTTATTTTTATATTTCTTAGAACTAAATTTACTTTTATGACAAATGAGAGAAAATTAATTTACAAAGACTTTAGGTAAGGTTTCCATATTAAGAACATCTTCTAACTCCCTAAAGTGAAATGTGGCTATTGAGAGCGTAGTAGTGACCAAAACTTCTGAATGCATAATGAAGAACAAATTTAATGGGATTTCCTAGTTCACAGCATAGATAGTCAGTCCCAAACTGTGATCTCTTTAAAGGTAATTATGTTACTTAAAGGGGAAATAAGAAGAATTAAGATGAATTATATACATGTACCAATTCCCAACAATGACTGAACTAATAAAAAGAAATTTAAGGAAACCCTGAATGCTGCCATGGTCTTAATGCCTGCAGTCCCATCACTGGGAGACAAAAGGATTACAAGCTGAGTCCAGCATGGACAACTTAGCAACTTTGTATGCCCTCTCTCTAAATAAAAAATTAATAAAACAGGACAAAAGGGGGCTAAGGATGTACATCAGTGTTTAATAGCCAATGCAATAAAAAATAAATAATAAAAATGTAACGCAAGGATTATTCTATAAATCTGATGCTGTGACTCCAGGGTTACATGTATTATAATTGCAAAAGATGGTATTTGTCTATGACTCACACATGTAACACTCTTGGCCACTGCTTCAATAGTAACAGGCATGGACAAAAAAAATAGTGACAGGCAACTGTTACAAATGCGACAATTCTAAAATTTCAATGACTAATAATAAGGTGACTAATTACTCACATGTATCAGCCTCTTGGAGATGCATGATGAATCTGGATATCTACCTAGCTATAAGGCTATGCTATAATGCCTTGTGTATTTTTTCAGTTTTTATTTTTTATTAAGTCATATCTGTAATACATAATGATTACATTCCTTGTGTGAAGTTGGTACACGGACATAACACACTTTCTTTATCCCCTTTCCTTCCCTCCCTCCCCCTTTCTCTTTTGATCCCTTTCCCATTTGAACAAGTGGAAAATGAGAAAGGTAGGTGAATCCGGGTGTGGTGGTGCATGCCTGTAATCTCAGCACTCGGGAGGCTGAGTCAGGAGGATCATTGTGAGTTCAAGGCCAGCCTGGGCTGCAAAGTGAGCTCAAGGCCAGCCTGAACTGCATAGTGAGACCCTGTTTCAAAAAGATCAAAAAAAAAAAAAAAAAAAAAAAAAAGACAGACAGACAGACAATGAGTCTTGGATAAAATTTTAAAATCCGAAATTTAACTGCTAGTTAGGGGCAGATGAGATCCAAATAAAGTCAGAATGTAGAGACTTTAGAGGAAAATCCATAGTGTGTTGTGATGAACCAAAGGAAAGAATACCTGAAAGAGAAACTGTTAACTTTTGTAGTAGCTCAATAATATTCATTTTATAAGTGTACCATATAGAATTTGAGCAACTCACAGCAGTTAATAACTTTGGTTGTTTTTAGTTTATTCTCAGTATCAACAGTGGTATGATGAGAACATTTATGCATGCATTTTTATGCCCTTCCTATTTCCTTAGCATAAATCCCTATAAAATTACTAAAGTAAGTATGTAAACAGTGCAACACTTAAATGTGGCATAGATACTTAAACTGTCCAATAGAATGACTAAAAATGGCCCTCCTGTGCATAAGATGTGAGAATGCTTATACTTTCATGCGTTGCAGCTACTAGTGAAGCTCATACGTTTCATTCATTTTCAAAATAAGATAACTAAAAGCACTTGAATCCTCATTTTTTTTGGTTCAGAGAGGTTACACAATTAGGCTTACGAATTCAAAATCCACATGTTTTGAGACATAAGATTTTTATTTATGGTTTTTATGACTCTTTTACATTCAAGATAATAGTATTTTTTTCTGACTTGAAAGTTTGTCTTTCGTGTTTTAAATATGAAATAGTGTTTAAAAATAAAAAAATAAAGTTCTGGAATCTAAATAAATAAATAAAGTAAGTAAGTAAGTACATAAATCCTGAAGACATTATAATATGTTTTCCTTTGAGCAAAGCAGAACTTTACTGAAAACAAAGCCTCAAACTGGTATCGAAAGGCATCTTGGGGCTGGGGATTTAGCTCAGCGGCAAAAGCGCCTGCCTGGCAAGTGCAAGGTCGTGAGTTCGGTTCCTGGTACCGGAGAAAAACCAAAACCAAAAAAAAAAGGCATCTTATTAGACTACACCTTTGATACGCCAAAAAAGTACTACAGTTCTATAGCATGACTGTCATTTAAAACCCAAGGAAATGATAATAAGTTAAATTATTCTGATGAATTCAAGAGTTCTATTTGGATCTGCTTACTTAATAACAGGTTACAGTGTTTTATATTTCATTATTAAAGGATAAAATAACATTATTTACAGCCATGGAATAAGAGAAATAACAAAAATGAATGAAGATCAAGCTTTACAGACCTACAATAAACAATGGTAATATGAGAAGACAAAAATATGTGTGTGAATGGACTCATTAACTTTCCGGTATGCATTTGCCAAGGCAAGAATTTTTTCTGTATCTGCAAACATCACACTCCAGAATGATTGCTGTTGACATGTGAAACTGAAGCTCACAAAGGACAAAGGTAATGCAGCAGGTAGTAATTATTTGAAATATAGTGCCTATCAGATTAATGAATGCTGTTCATTGTGTATTAATATCATAGGACAACTTTATGAAGAGCTCTTAAAATGCTTCCAGTTTAAGAAAACCTAGAGTGACGCAGCTTTGCAAAAAAATGGAATATTTGTAGGTCTGAAAATAGTGAGCTAACCCAGATTGTTCAGTAGTTGTCCTGGTCCAGGCATCTTCACTGTAACAGTTTTCATTGTAATGGTATGACAAAAAATAGTCGAGATAATTTCCCATAATTAATATTACTCTGGTAAGTTCCAAATACAAGGTAAAATCAACAGGGAATTAAAATAGCAACCTAGGCTCCTCATTCTTCCAATGTAGAAGTTATGGCTTTCCTCTCATTTAAGAGCTCTAAAACCATGCCAGGGAAATAGCTCCACAGCACAAGTGCCTACCTGGCAAGTACAAAGTCCTGAGTTTGATTCCCGGTATGAAAAAAAAACAACAAGAACTTTAAAACCTTCTCACAAACCTCTTTAGTCTTCTGGTTTGCAATTCCCAGTAGTGATAAACAAACCATTTACAGTACATATTATCCTGCCTTTTGTCTGTGTGTATGTGTCTGTGTGTGCTAAATTCTAAGCATAGTCTATGTTAAAAATTTTTAAAAAATTAAATGCAAAGCAAAACACATGTAGTTAAAATATAAAAATAAGTAAGTCATTATTTTATATATTTAAAAAGCACTCCCAATAATGGGTTTCTATTGCTATAAAAGTTTCAAAAAGCAAGCACTGTGTGGCGAGGGAGACAATAACATTTCAGCGAAGGGCTAGTTTGAAAATATTTGGGGCTGTGTGGACAACAGACTACTCAGCTCCGCAGTGCCATAAGAAAGCAGCTGTAGGCCACAGGGAAAGCAAATGGATGCAAATGGGGTCATAAAACTTTACAAAAATAGATGGCATGCCAGAAGCTCAGGCCCTCCTCTGCAGCCCCTGGTCGTCCTAATGAAATTTAATCATACATGGCACTTTATATCGCCTCACAAGCTACCTCTGTAGGCCCATCTCCCACCATATTCCCTTTATTCTCTTCATATACCGGTGACATCAGACTGATTCCTGTTTTCTAGCCTGTGCCACTGTGTGACATAGTTTATTTTCATAGTGTATCTGACGGCGTAGAACCTAACCTTATTATTCACCTAGGAAAAAAATAAATTTCAACCCCCCATCACTGACAAATGCTTGATCTCGAAAAATTTCTTCAATTCCTTCCCTACCTCAAATTGAATTAATTATTCTCACTCCTGAGTTTTCATGGTATTCTACTCTAGTACTCTACCATCAGAATTCCTTGCTTATAATCTTCTGGGTAAAGATGATATGCCACTTATTTTATATCCTCCAAATCCAAAACACCACAACATGTCAACAAAGATTTTTTTGACATATGACTGTAGAAATTTTATGAACACAGGAGACTGAGACTGCTAGTTGTTTCCCCAAATCCACATCTTAGTCATTAGTACCAGAACCCCCTACGCTATGTACCTGGAATGAGGATTACATCTGAAACTCCCTTGCCATTAAGTTTGGTTGAAATGGACCAGGACAGAAGTAACATATGCAAATTTTGAGCTGTGTTATTACAGGGACACTGATTTTTTGTAAGAAAAATTATCTTTTAAAGCCAACTTAGTCTTGGTGACTGTTATTAGGATTATATTATTTTAATTATATATAATTATATAACAAATTTGCATTAAATATTTAATGTCAATTTCAACATTGGTTGGTGCTACAGAAATATAACAATATATATTTATTGCATTGCATATTATTTTAAAATAGTCCTTGCTACTATTTTTTTTAAATAAAAATAGCTAACAAGATTAACCATAAAGTAAATACATAAGTCAGTAACTATCTACCTGTTGGACAGATTAATTAATGGATATTAAGCTGTTAGCTAAATGCAGAGAAAGCACCTCAATTTTATTTCCTAGAAAAATAGTGAATAGTCCAATTGGGACAGTAAAAAGCCATTAGCAGAGAAGTCATGAAAAAAAGTCTGGAATCTAATACAAATTTAAAAAGACTATAAGAATTATGTGATATGAGACAGTATACTAAGAATTACAGTTACAAATAAGTAGAACTTTTACTGAATTCTTGACATTTTAATTACTAAATATATATTCATAATACTATAGTAAATCACAGATGTGTATTAAATATGTACAGTGAATAAATTCAATAGTTTGTAATAAATGCCCACTACTTACTTTTTTAAAAAATAAATAGCCCAACATTTTATACTGTGGCTTATCCTCAAGAAACACACACCAAAATTTACTTCCTGCCATTAGATTTAACCTTTTTTCTTTTTTCTTTTTTTTTTTTCCAGTACTAGGAATCGAACTCATGATTTTACACTTGCCAGGCAGGCGCTAAATCCCCAGCCCCTTCCTGCTGTTAGAGAATGGTGTTAGCAAAGTGAAGTTCTTAAAATCAAAAGGCAAGTCATGTTGGATACTAGAGTTTTGAAACAAATTGTCTTCATCTCTAATTTAGAAATACACACAGATAAATGAAGACGAATGTACAGGCGAGTCAAATTCAGGTTCAGACTTGTCAACTGGCAGTTCCACGTGTGTAAACTGTCAATAATGTAGGCAGGGTCCTTAAAGATCTTTGAGATTGTCAGCTTTTAGATGAAGAAGTTCTGTATGAGGACATTTTCCAAGAGTGGAATTGCCAGTGAGTGGCTGAAATTAAAAAAGTGTCAGAAGTCAGAACAGTTGAAGATATCACGAAACTATGAGTTTAGGACCTGTGTCAGTTATAAGAGGTGGTTTTGTGTAGCTACTCAGTGGCTGTTAGGAGAGGAGTGCATGTACTACATTTAGTAAGAGGGAAAACTAAACTTCACTGAAGTGAGTGGACAGGACATGAAGCACACAGTAAATGGGAATGGCTTAGTGATTTAAAAACATGTATCGTCCATTTGTTATGAAAGTTTGAATGAGATATGTGAAAGCAAGTTGTGGGGTACCCTCTTCCCCACAATAGTGAATCCATCCAAATGGCCTTGATCATATTCACTGAAAAATTCTATGGAAAGTAAGCACAGGAAATATTAAGGGAAATGGCACTCTGACTAGTACAACAATTCATAATGCTACAATAGGAAAGATTTTTACAATGTTGGACACTGATGAAATAATTATGTACAGTGTGATGCAAACTTCACACAATGAAGAGTCCCAGAAGAAGTGACAGCATGAGAGGTACAGACTGACAAGAGCATTTGGATGATATATTTCAGGATACATCCTGAGGAAAGTATGCTACTACGGGGAATACAGAATGGGCATGTTAGTTATAGAACTAGACCCTCACAATCAAGGTAGCAATAGTTTCGTAACTGAGCAAACCTACAGATGTTTACATGCACCGATCTGGGGACAGGATCTAGAGAACACGGATCATTTTACAAGAGTAATATCAAATAATCCCAAAACAAAGCATCACACCAGCAACCAGAGCTTACTGTTTTTAAAAGCTAACACCTGAAAATATTTAGGAAAATGATTTACTGAAAAAAATAAGCACAAGACACTGAAAGATTCCAAAGGTAATGTAATATTTGTCATAAAACTTCACTGAGTTATTTCTCTCTATAACGAGAGTTTTAAATTGTTTCAGGAACTCTTTCAAGAAACTTTGATGAGGCTAGTTGTAAGTGAGGAGACTGAGGTATAAATGGTTAAGAAAGATCACTAGCAAATTGCAATACTACTCAAAGTTCATTTAGTTTCAAGAATAAAACAGTATAATCTAGTCTTCAGTCATAAGAAGAGAAGAGTGAAGATAGAAAACAGGAAGGAGAGTAAAATTAACTGTATATAGCATTAAAACATTTGTTTGGTTCAGTAGTAACGTCAAGATACTGTATTCCGTAGTCCAATAATCAGTCTATTTGGTTTGATACCTCAAACCATTAACCTACTAATCGCCAATTTGTGAAACAGAGAACCTTTTAATCCGTTAAAGTACTTACTTAGTAGGTAAAGAATCATTATTCACAAGTCAGTATCACAGACACATAAACATACTTGGAAATTCACTGCAGCACTGTTACACTGTTTCATATATGCTATTAACTATATTCGAGATGGCGACTATAATACAAGAGACTAAAAAATACTTGAAAGAATAATCACATAACTGCTGTAATGACATTCTAATATCTTACAACACATTACAGTATTCCAACCCTGTGATCACCAGAATAATTACTCCACTGAATCATGCTGTAGTACTCATCTGTTGTAAGGTGGCATGTTTAAGTTTTTAACTCACAAAACGCTTGATGATGACGATGGAAATCAGAATCCAAGAGAAGCTTCCTTTCACAGTACATCTCTGAAATGTAGGGTGTATGGTCGTGGGCAACCTGCACTCTTCTCCACTTGGCTTATTTGAAGGAATTTAATTTAAAGTAAATTTCAAGTGCCTTTACCTCATGATATGCTTATTTATAAATTTAACCCTGTGCACTGACTTGCATAGAGGAATAGAGACTTTTTTTTAAAAGAGCTCATGCTAGGTTAAGAAATGGAATGATTTATTGTTTGTTAAGGGACTGTGTAGTAAGATCAAAGAAAAACATCATTTAAAGTTCTAAGGACAGGTGTTTTTAGAAACCTAGGTTATCGAAATTTTCCTAATAAACAAATAGAAATACTTTTTATAGCCAGCTTATTAGATTTAGGCCAAATTTATGATAAATTGGAGTTATTTATGTAGTGTGTGAAAAATATATTGAATTCCTTTGCATAAAATGTATTACATTTTGTATTCAGTACCTTTATAGCCAGGGATACAGCTCAGCGGCACAGCGCCTGCATGGCAAGTGCAAGGTCCTGAGTTCAATTTCCAGTATCAAAAAAAAAAAAAAAATCAATATATTTATAACATATTTATGAGTTTTCTTCTA